ACGCTCCCACTCATAACAATCTTAATCGAATCAGGATTTTTTTATCCTATCGATTTTAAAATCACTTTAATTAATTCAAATCGATTCACGTCCTATATTTAATTTCAGTGAATGAGTCTCTTAATAATTTTGTTTATGTAAACAAATACTTAAATTCGAGATAAATTAATATATATCAAATCAGGATTTTAATCCAAATATATAATTTTTTTAAAATAAAATAATTTCTTTTGTATATCCAAATTTATATATAATTAAGTTTTATACAAATACTATAAATTTCTAGATTAAAAAAAAGTGAAAAGCTAAACGATCAAACTACACCTATCAAATTAAACGAGATAAATTAATTTAAATCAAATGAATTAAATTAAATTTCTGAAATAAAATCATAATTAACATATTAAAGTCAAACTAGACGATAAAATACAGGTCCATCGATGCTCTTCGACCGGTCCGACCAATCACCCTGGATTACGACTGATCTTACTGCCGGCCAAATTTAACATGAGTTTTCACGTGACTTAAAACCCCATAGTGTGCGTATGAAATCAATAATTTGGTAGGAAAATGTCACAATTAACCCAACTGATCTTGTTTTCTTTTCCTATTTTTGCGGCTGGAATAAACAATTCTTTTAGTATGGGTCGGCTCATGTGATCCAAAATCATGAATTTTAGTAGCATTGATTATTTATAATGCAATTAGATTCATAAGTAATAATAATAATAAGCATTAATTATAGTTTAGGTTGAATCCATATCTTTTTAATATTTAAAGTTAGTATTTATTGAATATATATGGTTGAAATTAAAAAATTAATATTAAAGTTTTGGGTAAACTACACATTTAATATTTAAACTATTACTTTTGTTGCATTTTGATATCCAAACTTTATCTTTTTTAAATTATATCTAACGTTTAGTTTAGATTTCAATTTGATATTCTATTTTCAAAATTAACATAACTACAGTCACGATATTTTTTTTTTAATTTTTTAATGACAATGTGACATTACCTTATGGTGATATGTCAACATTACTGTTGAGTTTTTAATAATGAGATATTTAAATAAAGCTTAAACTAAAGTTTAAGTATGATTTTTTAAAAATTAAAATTTGAGTACTAAAATAGAATAAAGATAATATTTTAAATACTAAACATGTAGTTTATCCTAAAAGTTCCCTTTCTTTTGGAGGATGGAATATTCAATATTTTAGTATGATCGAGTCACTCCTCAGTAAATATATTTTTAAAAATTATTATTTTAAGGAGATTAAGTATTTTCAATATGAATATACACATGTAATTTAGGTATTAATAATAAGCATTAATGGTCCACTGATGAAATGTTTCGTCTTGAACTATTTAATCGTCATATATTTTTATATCATTAATTTCTGTACTCTTTTTTATATTAGATTATATTTTAAATGATACTAAAATGTCAACAACACGTGGATTAGGTGTTTTTTTTATTATCTCGATCTTATATCATACTATATTTCATTTTTTATATAATATTTATTTTATCTTTAATTTAACCTAAAACTAATTAATTTGTCTGTTATAATTCCATTAAATAATAGTTTTTTAATTATGTTATATCAATGAAATATATTTATCATGTTAAATTTTTTATTATTCAATTAGATATAATTATTATCCTAATAATTAAATTTATTATAACTATTTTATTATTCCATTAAATTGGTTTTAATACTATGAAGTTATGTATGACATGAATTTCTTTCTATATATAATACGTTATATTACTTTTACAAAATAACATTAATTTGTTTTTCTTTATGTAACATGAACTTTTTATACGTGTATAAACATGTTGTAGTTTTTCCATAACAATTCATGTTACTAGACTGATAGTTAATGTACTTTTTAACTCAATTTTATTGGATGTTTAATTGTTTAGTGCATTGATTTAATAAGATGAACGAAAAAAATATGATCAGTTATACTCACACGTTCAAAGAATACTTTTAGGGTTTAAAATAATATTATATTAATATTACTTCAATAATATTTGTTCTAAATACTCTCAGCTAAAATATTTTTCTTGATGAGACCAAACTTATTCTGCTTTAAACCTAAAACTAAAAATAATCAAATCAATTTTTTCTTGATCAAAACAAAATAACTGAATAAATTGAAATATTCAGTTTTTTCTTAAATATTTTTACACATAAAATAAATATAATAATCTTTTTAACTACATATTGTGTAATTAATTAAATTATATCAGATTTTTAATATTCAATTTTATAAATAAATAAATTATATATATAATTTATTTATTTATTTTGAATATTGAGAATCAATAACTAAACAAGATTAACTGTCTAAATCAAATAAATTAAATGAATAAATAAAAATTAAATTAATTTGATTTAACCGATATTTACTCCCCCAACTACCTAAAAACAAATTTAATAAAAATTTAAATAGCACGTGTATTACCTTTAACATAACCATTGATGAAATTATTAGAATAGTTTATCGTCGTTTACAGGAACATGATTCGGCGACGTGCATTGGACAAACAGATTCTTCAAAGGGTAAACATATAGTTTTAGTATTCGTGTATTTAATTTTAAATTAAAAATCTGAATTTAACTTTAAACCGATACAGCTTATTTTTTAAATTTAAGTTAGTACAACGTAATTTATTAACTTAAATTGATTTAGAAAGTAAATACTAATAAACGTTTCTCAAATATTTTATTGGAAGAAAAGTATAGATACCGAATTGTATATTTAGGGGCATAGATAAAAGAGTATTCGACGATCTTTTGTGAATCGTTTTGTATAATGTTTGTTTATTTAAACGGTTTTAATTTTTTTATGTTTATTTAATAAATAAATAAACATGAATATAGATATATTCGGTTTATATATATTTACGAATAAGCTCATTATTAGTTTATTTATAAATCTGAATAGAGATATATTTGGTTTATATATATTTACAAATAAGTTCATTATTAGTTCATTTATGTGCTCATTTTTTTATATTTTAAATATTGATGAATATTTAGACTAAATTGAACATAATGTGAGAGTTCAACATGTGAAGTTCAAAGAAATTAATGATTAGTGACATAATTTTACCATTTTTCTTTTGCTAAATAACTTTGATTATCGAACTTTTTTTATTAAAAAATAGTAGTTATGTAATCATGTGGTGTTTGATTTTTTTTATTAAACTAAAGTGATTAAAAAATAGTATATGTTTTATTTGCCCTAATCTCTCATATCATCTTTAATATAATTTTTCTTTCAATATTCTTGTGTCGTCTTCTTTTCTTTATTTATTTTTTATTTAGTCGACAATAGCACCAATCTTAATATTGGTTGTTAACCACCAGTGATTATTATTTTTCTTTTCTTTTTTCATATTATGTTTTTGTTTTTTCTTGACTTTTTCACTTTTAAATAAAAATCTATGTTTTTGTAATACATTTTTTTATGTTTTTGTGGCACATTTTTTTCTTCTGCTCTTGTGGCACGATCCTTATGGTTTTCGGTAAGTTTTTTGTATTGTTGGTGTTTCCACAAAGATCCTCATGTCATATGTTTTATAATTGGCTTGTCGATGGTCACGTATTGTCAAATTCGCTATTTTATAAATGGTCGCTTGTCGATATAATCAGAATTGTGTGGAGAAGTAGTCTGCCAAATTGTTTGGTTCGCTCACCACTCTTTTATCACATCGTAAAGATTCTCGTTCGACAGAGAAAATGAGTTTTATGAAGCTTACTTGATTGTTTTGATGTTTTGAATGTTTCAATCTCTTCGTATCTTTGGGTTTAATATTTTTATTTTATGTATGAGATTTTGGTGACTATTGTCTCCAATTTTCTCTTTAGATGTGTTGTAATTTTGATTCCTCTATTTTTATTAATGAAATTCAGTTATCATTGTTAAAAAAATAGTATACGTTCTAAATATTTTTAATCATTTAATAATGAACGCTCAACAATTTATTTTACAATCATTGATGCTCAGACTCAAGACCTCTAAGAATAACAATCATTCTTTTAATCATTGAGATAATTTGGTCCAAACATATTAAACAAACATGTTTGTAAACATTAAATGAATATATTCATAAACATTAATGTAAATAAATGAACACATACACTTTTAAAAATAAATAAACCAACGTTGTGAATCTAGATTGAATTGCACCCGTATGTATATTTAGACATCTTCAAAGCATACACAATTTGCTAGTCTGAGCGAAGAAATCCGATTGGCAGCATGGCTGCACACAAACACCAAGTGGTCGGTGGGGAAATTTTTATATTTTAATCCCAACTCCAAACTTCAACGTTCTAACCCACTTCCCCATTTCTTTTTTCACCTTTCTCCTCACTCCGTTCCAGCTTGTTTTTGGTAAACCCAATATTATCAAATCATCAATATGTATATATAAATAGAATGCCATTAACAAGAAACCCTCAATCCTCTAAAGCTTTATACATTAAACACTACTGGTTTTGTGCAGAAAAAAAAGAAAGAATAAATGAAGAGGTCTCCAGATCGTTCTTCCAATGCTTCCATTGCTTCACCTTTATCTTCATCTTCATCATCATCAATTATACCCGTGATAATATCAGAGAAACCCAAGAGTAAAAGGGCTAGAAAACATCAAAACAATCACGATAAATGTAGCTCGAAAGCTAACTCTGCTAGAAGAAGCTCTGTTTACAGAGGAGTCACCAGGTGCGTAGAATTACGGGTTTTTGTTTTTTGGTTGATTTTGAATTGCATGTCTGATATTTTGATGTTACAAAAGGCATAGATGGACTGGGAGGTTTGAGGCTCACCTTTGGGACAAATCTTCATGGAATAACATCCAGAACAAGAAGGGAAAACAGGGTAATGGATTCGATCATTTTATGGTTCGGTTTCATTTCTGGTCAGACAGATTATTTACTCTGTTTTCTATTTTTATTGCTCTGTTCCATGTGAATATGCATTTACACATTTGTCGCATCCTCAGTTTATTTGGGTAAGTCCTCCATCTTTGTAAATAACTCAGTAAATAAATTCATGGGGAAACAAAGATAAAGATCATTGTGCCGATGTGCAGGGGCTTATGATAGTGAGGAAGATGCAGCACGAACCTATGATCTCGCAGCACTCAAGTACTGGGGCACCCAGACCACCTTGAATTTTGCGGTATTTTTAAACATTCTACTTTTGGATTTGGTGTGTGGAAAAAAGCAAAGGAATTGTGAAATTGATGTGATTATATATATAAACCAGATGGATCGATATGAGAAAGAGATTGAAGAGATGAAGAAGGCGACCAAGGAAGAGTACTTGGCTTGCCTACGGCGGCAGAGCAGTGGATTCTCGAGGGGAGTTTCGAAATACAGAGGGGTGGCTAGGCATCACCACAATGGTAAATGGGAAGCGCGAATTGGTCGAGTTTTCGGCAACAAATATCTCTATTTAGGAACTTACGGTCAGCTACTCTTCTATGTTTCATTCATATTCCCATGATTCCAGATTTATGGATTCGTTTTCATTGTCCCACTATTTTATTTACTCAAATTATATTTAATCGTTTAGATATATCACCACAAAATAATATCACATTATTATTAAAAAATAAAAAATCATCACGTTATAATGTTGTTTATTTTTTTTAAGAACAAGCAACCAAAATGTTATCTTAAATATGATTTTAAAAAAATAATTAAATAATTAAAATAAAATTCCAAGGATAAGTAGATGACTAAATATGTGATTTCATAATTCGAAGGTCTTCTACGGAAGTTGCTCTCAACCTGGTGTTGGGGGCAACCTATTATCTTACATCCCCTTATCCCATTACATATGGGAACAAGGGACAATCATTTATAAAAGTATCAACTACATATATAAATAAAATAACTTTACGAGAGTTTTCCCATGAAACGTGGTTTAAATAATTTGACTAAGAGATTCTTGTGGTAGGTAATTTTTAAATGTCTGTCCAATTCAGTACCTCAGTCGGAGAAAAATATTTACCAAACTGGTCAAAAATCATCAGTTCGATAGATGATAAAAAATAGGGCTAACAAAATACACGTGTGTTAAGCACGTGACTATCACTCTCCCATTTAAGCTCAAGTCGATGAAAATTGGGATACGACAACTTTTAATCCTGCATTTGGTAATTTTTTTAATTTAGTCCCTAAAGATTTTCTTTCCACATTAGAAACATAGTCTTCTTAACGATGTGAGTTGCGACACTTTAATATTTTATTAAATAGTAAATCTCAGAATATCACGTAATTAAAATAATAAAAATCTCAGATTCAAAATTAATATGGACAAAAAAATTAGGCGCCTAATTGAAAAATCGTCAATTTTAGTAATTAAGAGTTGTTTTATCCGATATTCATAAACATCGCCAGCAGGGTAAGAAGCGGGGCAGAGATCACGTGCCTTGGGAGAACAAAACGGGACCAATATTGATTCGAATATTTGTGAAGATTTTGGAATCTTTCTTTGCTTTACCCCTCAACAATTAAAATAACTAGATAATGCGAAGGATACTATTTTAATTGTTTGTGTGAATTCGACAACACATTTTCCAATCAAAATCGGGTTTTTTTTGTTAGGTCAGGTCGGGTCGGGTTTATGTCTTCAAGGCACAATTCCTTGTAGCAAGTTAATCCGGAGAGTTTTAATCAACATAATTAGGCGTACACAACTTTTCTTGTATTGCATTGATTTAATAGCCATATAGACATGTAAATGATAGTTTAAAGGTACATATACATTATTTAATCGAGATTACACAACATAATCTCTGTTTTGAAGAGACACAAGAGGAAGCAGCAGCAGCATATGACATGGCAGCATTGGAGTACAGGGGGGCTAATGCCGTCACCAATTTCGAGGTCAGCCGTTACATAGAACGTTTGAAGCAGAAAGGGATTTTGTCTCTCGATCAACCGCAAGGACAAAGTACCGAATCCGCTGAAGCTCGACCGATAGAACCTGAAGAAATAGAACCACCACCGCAGCAACAGCAACAAGGAGTAGAAGAAGCTGTTGATATAGCTCAACTTTTTCAGTACATGCAAACGCAGCTGCCTCTATGTGTTGACAACGCGACTATGTTAAGAACGGAGACGACCGATGGCAACGAGCTAGCGTGGAGTTTCTGCATGGACTCAGGGTTGACATCGTTTTTCGCTCCAGACTTCACTCTCTAGAAAACTGGCGAATTAAACGCTAACATTGACTTGATATTCGACATGGGGCATGAAGATAACGCAGCCAAGTGGGAATGGCCCGTTGGATGATGCAAGTTGCAGTGTCGACGTTGGTGCATCCGTGAACATGCAAGGAAGATGAGGTAATAAATTAGATTGAGTGAAGCGTAGCGAAACAAAGATTAATAAATCCAATAAACATGGAGGTGGTAATAATTTTTAAGATTATACTTCTTTAGTAACGTGAAACGCATAATTGGATAGAGTAAATTAATTATGGAGCGATAGTGAATTTAATAAAATATGCTTTTACCTCGCTCCATTGTTCTCTCTCAAGCAAGTATCAAACTAGTCATAAATATAATTCTGATATTAATAGGAGTTAATTTAGGATCGAATAAAAAAATTTAGAGATTAAATTGAAAAAAATAAAATCTTAAGGCTTGACATATCATTTATCCTTTCATGGAATGGAATTTATTTGCTCAAAGTTATAACACCCCTAACCTGATACAATCCCAATCAGAATTGTAACTTCATCGAAATCAGAACTAATTCAAACATCCAATCGTACTAGCATGCAACAATTAACATTTGAAGGGCTAAAGTGTCAACGTATCAAACATATGGACTAAGTTCTTTGACAAGCCATAAAGATGCATCATTTTTTAAACCCATTATTTGGCCCCCCAATGTGCACCAAAAACACTATGGAAATATCACAATTTAACTAATTTTTTAAATTGATGTATGGGTTTCGAAACTCAGATATCTGTGCACCTAACAGACTTTCTCAAGTTGGTCAAAGCTTGACTAGGGGTGAACGAAGTTAGTAAAAATGTTTAATTTTTATTTGAACCCTTAAACTTCAGACAAAATACTAATCATGTTTCTTTTTATAAACTCAAAAGAGTTTAGGGATAAAATATCAATTTACCCCTTTTGTTCATATGTTTTCTTCCTAAACCTATCTTCTCCTCTGCTTCCCATACTTCATCTCTAAACCACTGCTTCATCTCTAAGGCTCCCGCAGCATTCTTATCAATTCCACTACATAGTTGATGAAATGGTAATTTGGATAAAGTAAATATATCTGCAAGCATTTTGGACACATTCGGAATATCGACTAAAGCTGTAAATAAGCAAGTATGAAGACAATTCAAATAAACCGAAATCATAATTTAACCATTAGCTGGAAGAACATAAATCTAGCTTTATAAATATGACTCTCCCGGATAAAGTTGATCCATATTAAATTTAGGACGTGTTAAAAGTCGCAATTACAATAACAATGAGGATTAATCATCATAATGAATCGGTATACAAATTATAGTAAACACATCAAAGATGTTAAAAGAAAAATCAAGAGGCTATTTTTTTTTTGACAAAATCAGTTCCAAATGGTTTTTTGCAATAAGAACGTATTGGTTCTAGTAAAATGACAGCGAGTGTCGGGTTTTATATTTCTGATTTAACATGTAAGAAGATACCAACATTCAACAAGGCATCAACTGAGAAGCACCTATAATAGATGAATGTCTGTTGATACAAAGATATCTTCTTACCGAAAAGGCTGGCCTTCAAGTCTTATTACTTCAAGTAGCTGATACATGAACATCAAACAAAGTTAGTTTTATGTCATCTTACTCAAATTGTTTTTATCATGACTATAGAATTAGTTGTACTTGATTGTATTCTTATCAAGGAAGTCTCGCCGACCCTCATATTCCCCTCCTGGTTACCCGAAATGAAATTGGGTTCCTTACCTAATCTAGGACGATGGTACCTATACCAATTTGGCAGTATCGATATTAACTCAGTGGTATTAATATTTTCCTGTATCGATACCAAAAAGGGCTTCAATGTTTTCAAAAAATGATCCTAATATCAATACTCTTATGCTTAGTATCAATACTTAAAGCCCCAAAACCCTTTTATTCAAGTCATTTGAAGAACAATATCGGTATTATTCCTCCAGAAATGATACTTCTACCTAGAAATGCCCTGTATAGGCACACAAATACTCCTAAACCCCCCTCACAAGTCCCCCTTAAGACTCTTGAATGTTTATTAAGTTTTATGGGAGTTCATGGTAACATTAGAGATCATTCCAAAACAAGATAACATCAAATATTTTCTTTCTCACTAAAATCATCGTAACTCATGTTTTGTACTCATGAACACAACAAGCAAGCAAATCACAACATAATGATCTACATGCAGTATAGGTGAGTTAGAAATGTGTTACATTAACATTAGCTGATGAGAAAGACCCATAAGATCACCCAAGCCAACTTCTCCTTGTTCTTACCTTTTGAGCTTTCACCAACTTCTCTTACTAACCAAAAGCAAATAAGAGCATTACTAATGCTTTCAAGGACTCTAAATGAGTAGAAATGTGATTTTAGACATTTAGGGATGGATTAGAAACAATTTTAATCCTTAAAATCAAAACCCTTCTAAAACCCCCATTTTGGCCATCATGACCTAATCTTGATATTTTGAGCTAAAAATGAAGCTCTAGGGTAGGAGATTAATGTTTTTACCTGTCTAAACTTGAATTAGCTTTTTTGGACAACCAAGTTTCCACCTTTGATGTTCACAAGAGGAAGAAGATGAAGGAAAATGAGAGGGAGAAGAAGATAAAGGGTGAGATAACAAAATGGAGAGTTTTTCAGTTTTTACGCCGTTGACATCACCTATATTAAATGAAAATCAACCTTCCAAAAGTTTAGGGGTTTATTGCCCCTTTAGTCTTTCTCCTTTTGGCTCTAAATCAAAGATTCCCTTTTTACCAACCTTTGGGCTTAATCGAAGCCCAATCCAACTCACACGTAACCCAATCATTTAAATTAAGCCTATCTTAAATTAAGCCAATCATTTAAATAAAGCACTCTAAACAAAATATCATACTCGAAACTACTAATCCGATTTTTAGGATGGTACAATCCTGAAAATTATGGATAATTATTTAATTGTCCAGAAATGAAGACCAAACTTCTTTTGTCGAGAAAGCAAATGTCTCATCCACAGTGGTTTGGATTCATGTACCATGTTTAACAATTGAATATTTTGATAAAGGGATTCTGGTTAGTATCGGGAAGTTGGTAGGAACACTGTTAAAAGTTGATTACTGAACGACTTGTATGACAAGAGGTATATTCGCAAGAATATGCGTTGAAATTGATCTAAATAAACCACTACTTTCAAAGATAAGAGTAGGAAACATGATGATCAACATTAAATATGAGGGGCTACATTAGATTTGTTTTCACTAGGACATGGTGGGTAATAAAATTGACCATTGCCCTATCAGACACTTCAAGTATACACAAAAGGGAGAAGACAAAAAAGAACAGTTGGAACCAACTTCTCAAGAACCCCAAGATACTGGCATCTTTAAGCATGTTGGTCCGAAACAAAAATAAGAAATGTAGGTAGATTTGGTTCATTGATGTTAGTCTAAAGAAAACAAAGAGGTAAGAAAGTGAACATGTCGAGGTGACTCTCCAAGAACGTCTCGATAGAGCCCTCCTTAATTTCGAGACACGAGAGCTTTTTCATGATCTTCGTATAATTAACTTGACGAGATTTTACTTTGACCGTCACCCAATTAAACACTAACTTGGTTTACACGGTTGTTAAGAGAAAAAAAAAATCCTTTAGCTATGAGGCACTATAGTTAACTCATCTCAAGTTTACCACGATTTTTAATAAAGCTTGGGACAACAAGAATAACTCTGTCATCGAAGCTATAGAGGAAACTGGAAAAGAAATAAAAATCTTGAAAGAATCAGCATTCGAAGATATCTTCAAACAGAAATGGATCCTCAGAAACCACCTAAAAGGCATTCAACAATCGCCTAATTATATCAACTCTAGATGGCTGCAAAATCTCGAAGGATCCTTCAACGAGGAATGCCAAAGGATTCTAAATCAAGAAGAGATTCTTTAGTTTAAAAATCCAGGTTGGATTGGATTCTGAAAGGGGAGAGGAATACAATATTTTTCCATCTTACGACTAAAATAAGAAGAAAACACAACAAAATCATTGGCATGTTCAAAGGGAATGTCTGGATTATTGACAAGCATTCAATGACCGCCCACATTGTCGACATTTATAAGAACCTATTCACCTACAAGGATATGATGGATTTGGGAGAATCTTACGATAAGTTCAAACCCGAGAAGGACGATGAAGACATCTACTTTAACTAAAAAAATCTCGTTAGAAGAAATAAAAACAATAGTCTTCTCTATGAAATGGCTAAAAGCCTTTGGGCCCGACGGAAAACAACCCATCTTATTCATAAAATTGGTATAGAGTCAAGAGCAAGCTCCTAAATTTTGTGAATTCTGCCCTGGTTTCCGGGAAAGTAGACAACCAAAAGTCTGAAAGATTATTTAGTTCTTATATCGAAAATTGAAATGGCATACAGACTAATCCTATTTCGACCCATTAGTCTTTTTAATGTCTTACAAGATTTTAGCAAAAACTATAGTCCATCGCCTTAAACCATTCTTCAGAATCTGATCGGGCCTTACCAAAATAGCTTCCTGGCCGACAGCACTGCTACAGATAACATCCTTGTTGTTCAGGAGGTGACCCATAGGATCATGTGTTGGAAAAATAGAATACTGCAAAACGAGGCGTTAGCACTGAAAGAAAAATATTAAATAAAATAATCAATCAGAATGATAACTGTGTCGTGGTAAAAACCACTGCCTTAGAAACGAATTTGCCCCCATGTATGTAATCGCTGCAATAGGCGGACCGTTCCCCCGAGGTTAACACGGCTCTCCAAGAATTCGTACACCCGAAAACTGGAGTGAACTTGGTGGGATTGCTCTTCTCTAAACTCAAACAACACTCAAAAGATAGGAGTATTTCAAAGCAAATGTTTGTTTGGGTTGTCTAAAATGAATGAAATTGCTCACTATTTATAGGCTAAATAGTGAGGGTAAAATAGTCATTTCCAATGCTAGTGGAAAAACCTAACTTGAGCATTTTTCCAATGCTAGTGGAAATACCTAATTTGAACATTAATTCCAATAGTCAACTGAGCATTATCAATATTCCCCCACTAATGCGAAAGAATTCTTTTGTAAAGATGAGAGCAATGAAGTTAAAACATGAGAAGAGCAATAGCGAAATTAGTTGCTTAAGCACTAGTGAACATATCTAGAACTAGTAATAGTGATGATGAGCAATCCTTCTCTTAGATAAGTGAAACTAGTCTTGAACTTTCTAAGATAGGGGTAAACTCATAACACA